GTATAGTAGTTCTTTGATCTGTAAAAAAGACGCCGAACCGGATTGATCGTTGTTCAACGTAATTTTATGTGACATTAACCGTGCAATATTTTTTTTTACAATATTACATTTAAATGGATTTCATTGGAGTCTTCAGAGTACAAGTCGAGTTCATTGGTAAAAATGTACTTTTTTTTGAATATTACAGTATCTATTTGTAACAAGCGTACGATTGATCCCGATTTGATCTTAAAATGTTTTTATGTAGTTCAATGATTGCATTATTGGCACTACATTTTGCTTTCATTTGGTCGATCACATGAGAGTGGTGCACGCACTCTCTGGTCAGCAAGAAAAAACTTAATTAATATGTAAAAATGTAATATTAATATAAAGCAAGCAGTGTTTTTTCTTCTTTAGAAAGAGAATAAGCGAGAGAGAAACAGAGCAAAAGCACTCCAACATGCACACATATTGCAAGTAAATATATGAGATATGAGGCCGTGGCTGCTAATTCGACCGAACGAATATCAAAGAGAAGAAAAAAAAATTACGAACACAGAGAAAAAACAAATAAATAACAAAAACAACGATAACGGTGCGAACATTCACTTTCGGTTGGTGCTGCTGAAGCTGTTAAGCTATTTCTGCTTAAGAAAGCAGCCGAATTCGCACAGTAAAACCGAGAAATATGTATAGCGACTGTGTCCAAACGTTGCCACACGGTGATATCAGTAAATAGCGACATTTTGTATGTAAACATGACAACGGTAGTGGTCAGAGAGCGCAGCAAAAATGCCATTTAACTTCGACCCAGTTTAAAAAATTACTTCTCGTCCAATTACTCATTTTGTGCTGTGAATGTCTGCATTTGCTTATTTGCACACATAGATACACATAATCTCTCTCTCTCGCTCTCTCGATCTCTCGTTCTCCACAAACCATTATCACATCGTTGAATACCAAGAAAAAAAAAACGTAACCAACCATCTGTCTCTTAGGTCGAGAGAGATTTTTTAATTATGTTTAGTTCATTCGCATTCATGAATTCGAATTATGGACAATATGATGTTAAGAACCCGTAAAACCAACAAAACCGGCGAATACATAGAGTGTGTTCTTTGTGTTTTGCTTCGATGCGGTAACGAAAATTTCACAAGAGATTCAATTAGTTGGAAAACCGCACATTTTCTCGCCACTCTAAAATTTAACGGGAAAGCAGGAAAGTGCTGCACCATACGACGCAGTTATTCGATCCAAATTTTATTCAATGAGAAGAAAGTTGACTGGGATCGGTCGGTTGGTGTGTGTATGTGTGTGTGTGTTTGTGTGTCAGTTTGGATTTGAATTGTAAGATACGATCTGAATATTTTATCTAAATCAACATTTCAGCACCCATACAGACATAATAATCCGATATTATATTGACACATGGTGAATTAAACTAAATGCCGAATTAAATATCGATATCCATTACGCAATCGTATTTTATATTTGAAACATTACACATTTTTTACACCTTTCGCTAAAAATTGAAAAAAAAAATCGCTGCGTTTCACATACCTTTGTATTCTTGCACGATGCTGATATTTGTGAGTTCATTTTATTTCTACATGACTGTGAATAAAATGAACAAACTCGAAGAGAGAAAGAAAGACATCATGCATCGTGTGGGCCACCAATTGCTCGGACCGATTACATTGGTACGTATTTTTTTCTCTCGATTGAAGTGAACAATTTTCGGCTATAGCTGGCAATGAAATGTATCGATTGTGTAAATTTATCGACATCATCATCATCATCATCACTGATATAGAGAAAAGAAACCGGTCGGAAAAGCGAGTAAAATTATTTCAAGATGAAATCTAATTGATGAATTCATTTATGCGAATTGCTTAATTTGTTCGACCTCGTGCGCGCAAAAAACCACGCTCACACGAAGAGTCATACAAGAGTTTATGGTTTGTTTTTCTTTTCTTTTTGGTGCTCTCCCAGCCACCAATGTAAATACTGTCTAACGTAGTCGATAGAAAGTACTTACTTTTGTAAATATATTTATTCCAATCGATCTTGGATTTCTCCATATTTCTCATCGATAAATTTTGCATGCCACACATTTGGAATCGGTTTGTATCTTTATTTACATACATATTTTATTGCTTTATGTGGCATCGCCCCGTTAAAATACAAAAAACACCACACTATATTTGATGTGCAAACAAAACGGTTAGCAAAAGAGTGTTTGAGTTGGTTAGCCTCCGTTCACCGGTACACCATTCTGACTGACTTTTTTCATATTGATTTATTCTCCGGATCCACCGTAATTTCCCACACGATCAATTTTTTTTGCTGTTGCGTCGATCGAAAATGAATGCATTTTTAATGGTTGAAACGTGCATTGTGCACATCAAAAGCACATACACTACAAGTAAGTGTATTGCTTATCGGTTTCCGATAGCAAAGAAGAAGAAGAAGAAAAAAATAACGAAATGAAAAAATGCTCATCATTTTTTAATCATATCGATTGTAATCGTGAAATAATTACAATAAAACATAGTATTCGGCACAATGGACTATGTTCATTTTTAGTGGTTGGTTTTGTTTTCGTTCGAGGTGAATCGCTCTCATAAGAAGTGGATGTGCATGATCAGTGAACCAGTGGCGAGCCGAGTTTATGAATTTTCGTGCTATTCATTAATGGCTGTTTGCAATGCGAGAGAGTCTTGTTGGCTGCTCATTTTATAAATCCACGAAATATTGCGATTAAACAGAAACAAATGACTGCAATTATTCGATGCTTCATCATAGTCAGATGTGATATGTAGAAAAATGATGTTCACTTGCGCACCCAACAGTTTGATCACCTACGATAATCTTACAAATGCAACACTAAACTCAACAACATTGAAGTTTCAAACAACAACAAAAAAGCGGCATTGCCTCGAAGTATGCCGGCTGGTTGAATTAATTTTTGTGATTCATAATAAACAAAAAAAAAAGATACTTGTACTTGCCCATTGAAATCGTGCCTATTAGAGAGCTCTCAACAACGATTATCGTTCAATCTATTGCTCTTACTCTGGCCACCAAAAACTACAACCACACTCACATTTGTTAGCCACTGTTACCACCATCAGTTAGGCATAAGATCGTGCGTACCACATTTCGACGAGTTTATTGTTGTTGCTATTGCAGCCAATACATGAACGAACTACCGTTAATAATAAATTTACAATATGGTATGAGTGTGCGCATATATCTTATTCAATTTCGTCGCATGTGTCATTCGGTTGCAGTCTGCGTCATCTTTTTTTTCTTTTCTATTTAATCTCTCTTATTTATCCGGCTGACAACTTATTTGAGTTGATCGTACAACCAGTATACGTGTCTTTTCATTGGCGCGAGTTTTTTGTTTGCTTACTTCAAAATCACAATACTGTTCAACACACACTCATTCAGTCAGTCAGTCAGTCAAATCCGAATAACCATACAATAACGACGACGACGACGACGGTAATATGATCGCTTAATTGACAATATCTGAATGCGTCCAACAGATGAAAACGAGATACCATTAACCATATGACAATTATTTTCCATTTTCTCTTCATTTTCTTTCGGTTTTGATGTTTTTTTTTGGCAAAGAAGAAAATTTTTTTTTTTTCATCAAACAAAAGAAAATGTGTTCATTATATTCGGTTTGCGTTGAAATCAAATTGTACACCGTTTTATTTTGTTTCACTCTCGCAATGAGATATTATTTTGCAAATCTTTGCGTTGCGGTGATGACGGACCATTACAATAGACATGCTGGTTGCTTCGTAGGAGTTTAAATGATGCTTTTTTTTTTTGCTTTTTATTCAACTTTTCAAATCAGTAGCAGCCAACAAAAAACATGAAATTTAAATAGAAATAGTCAGTGTGACGACAGGAAAAGAGTTGTCAGTGTCCAATGTAGTATGATAATTATTTTATTATTTGGGCGCTGTGTGCCCTCCCATTGAGAGTGATACGTTAAAAGAAAATGTACGTCACATCGTTTTGCAATTATTCGCTTTTGTTCTGCTCGTTTTAATATTTCGCCCCAAACACTTGACATCAACTACTTGAAAAGTGATTTGCGTACTATTCCAATTGTAATAGAGAGAGAGAGAGAGAGAGAGAGAGAGAGAGAGAGAGAGAGAGAAGGGAACACATGAACACATTGTCACACGAACGATTTGCCAAGAGCAAAGGCACGAAATCAATGTGTGCCATGGTTAAACATCAAAACATTTACCATGTAATTGCGCACCCTGAGAACACACCATTTGGAAATACGTGGATGTAACTTTTATGATTCTTCGTTTGTTATACGAAAATAACGATAAACAAAACCGGTCAGTTGAATTCATTGTGTGGAAGACATATACTGACCATGATTTAAATGCTTCCAAAAATCTCATCAAACTAGATTTATTTCAATCGATCGAATGCATTCAAAAATGTATAAAGATTTAAATTAACTCAAAAACGAAATAAAGAAAAGAAAATATTACTGAAACAAAAAATTTCACATTAAAAAAAACCGGAGTACCTACGGGTTTAACATATCAAAACTCAACTTTCCAATGAAATGGCAATTTTTGTTCTTTAAATTTTTGTTTCTCTTTTGTTTAATTCGACATTTACGCAATCATTGTGCGATTTGCTCCCAAAAATGGATTTGAGATGCTTAAAAATTATATAAAAATATATGCGCGTGCTTTATGCGTTTAATGGATTTCAATTTTTCCTAAAAAAAAAACGTTTCCGCGCGTAATTTGCAACGCAAGCAAGGAGGGCGATAAGATGATGCCATTTAAAGTTCATCATAATGTCGTATGGTGTGTGTGTGTGCAGTTTCAATTAAGATCCACTCAACATAGCCAAATCAAAAGTGAATGTTGTAATTTTATTTCGGCAATTTTCCAAGCATTAAACGTCAAATTGGCGGATATTTTTTACTAATTTCAAATTAAATACTTTTCACTTTTCTGTCACATTTTATTGGGCTGGAAAGACTTTTAATAATACAAAATAAATTGAAATGTGTTAATGCACATAGAATGCGAACAATAGATTTGAGCATGTGTTCTGTATTTAATTTTTAAAATAGTATGCAATGTTAAAGCCTAAGGCAAAACAAATGCATTGTTGTCAATTGGCGAAGTGGATTTGGACGCGTGCATCACTCCCATAAGATAGACTCCTCATAAAATGCAATGACTTTTTGTGGGTACAAACGTTTTATGATGTCCACTGACACCCAATCATGATCGTCGTGCTCTTCGTACTGAACCAAAAACATCACATCACTGTTTTCTCGTTTCATATTCAGAATACGTTTGACGGTGCCATTATACAATTGTTCACCGTACTCGGAGTCGCTTTGATCTGAATCCAATTGCTGTGCCAATGAAAATGATCCAAATCAATGATTTACATGTTTTTTTTACAGAAATTAAATTTTACTCACCAATTTAGCCCGTTTGGGCCCTGGTTTGGAAGTTGACTTTTGCTCCCATTTAAACTTTCTAATTAATTTGTTCAATGAACCACCTCTGTTCGACATCCATGATTTCGTGCCATCCGACAATTTTACAAGGTATTCAACCTGATAACATAATACAAAGGGCGAAACACATATGAATGAAGCGATTTTCTGACATTCACATTTCCAAGAAATAATCTCTCTGATTTCTGGTTTTAGAAGAGATTGTTAATAATTTAACGAAATTGATGGGTGTGTGTAAGGAACAATTTGTTATTAGTTTTTCACAATTATTCAAAATCGAATTTGCTTTGAACGCATTAAAATAAATCAACAAGTATTGAACTTACTTGACGGTGTCCATAATTGCGCTTACCTAGAGTTGATCAGAAGAATGGAGAAAAATGGAAATTAATCAATGAGTAATGGAAAAGAATGGAAAATGAAGTGCGCTTACTTTCAATCTTCACTGGCACCGCTAGCGATGATGTGTCATTTGGACATGACTTATTATATTCCTCAATGAGTTTGGGGCATGCCAAATTTTCGGTTGGTTCCCATGTGTTTTCGTTTTCAGGATAGTCTTTCCATTTGATAAAATACTCAACCTGAAAATAACAAAAAATCGAAACAAAACATGACAATATGGTGAGAATTTTAGTTTTTTCACTTTTTTGCGTTAAAATAAATGATCAACCATACTTACAACGCCCATATTAATTCGTTTTCCGTCAATTCGTTCCACCTCGTACTCTACAGGATCAAAATTTATTGACATTTCTTCGGTGTCCATTTTCACACCAAAAATCTTAAATATTTAGTATTATAAAGACGAATATACAATTAAAATAAAAGATTTTATTTTGCGATGATATCGTTCTGTTCTATTGATTATGCACGTATTTAACTGCGTTCCAGAACCAGAAAGAACAAACATGTGCTCACGTTTGTAGTGCAAATGAAAGTTGAATATGTCAATGACAGATGAAAAAAGTCTAGCTATGCTAAATTGAGACGAGAATGTGTTGAATTTTCGGCATCATGCGTCCTTTTCTAATCACTGACCGTTTGGCTGATTGATTCTTAGTTTGATCACTGTATACAGTTGCTTTGTTTATATGAGACCATAAATACAACAACAACAGCCCAATGTCAACACATTTCTCCATGCTAACACGGCGTTTTTTTCTTTCTTTCTCTTTTTCTCTTTGTATTTGTGTAATGAAATGCTGTGTATTGAGTAAGAACATGAACCGCCAAATTTATACACGACATTTCTACTTCTGCTTACGGAAGATTTTAAATTAAAAATATTTCGATTCATTTCTGAAACTGTGTAGCGATTCTACGATACAAACTCGAACGTAACTCAAGAACAAAATACATATTGATATAAGACAATTGTTTGTATAAATAATCTTTTTTTTTTTGCAATTAACATCGTTTGACATTTATTCGTCCGCGTTACTCGACGACCACTCTTAAATTTGCATTCACTCTTCAAATTAACAAAAATATGCTGGCATTTCAACGGTTTTTTGTAAATCTTCATTGGTCCAGCTTCCGTTCCTAATGAATGTGACCTCAATATTTGATACACTCTCAAAACAAATAAAATACCAATACACAAACTACAGTGAGACGAATTTTGCGCACATAGTTTCAGCTCACAGGATTTCCGCTTAGTTGACACTGTCAACATGACAGCAACATTGACTATATGACCACCAACATCGATTACAATGATGACAATTTCTCTGTACATTTCTAAGCATTACCTTTCTGCATTCACCGCTCGCCCTTCATTTCTAATGCTATGTAATACATAACATTTATTAAGAAACTCCAATGAAAGTGTATTCAAATGATCCTACTGTGTACAGTGAAACGCAACTGGCGATTTTGGTTTGGTTGATATAGGTTCAAAGCAATTTTATTTTGATAAATGTTTTCGTTATGTTTAGTTTTTCCACGATCAGTACATTACGAAGAAATATCTTCTTTGGAATTGAATATTTCAATTTAAAATTTTTCAAAGCGTAGAAAATCTCTTAAAGTATGAAAAACAGCATTTAAAACAAAGAGATGTCTAGGTGAAAATACAAAGAAGTGTGCGAATTTTTAATTGATCACAACAAGTTTTCGTTGAGTGGTTTTCGTTGATTTCTCTTCAAATTTCATGGTGTACTTTTTCTTTCGCAGTTCGACGCGTGTCTCATAATAATCGATAAGTTGAATTGGATGTGTTCGTTTGATCTCATCGATTGGAATCCATTGTGGTTTGATGATTCCCTTGTATTTTACCAAGCACTTGACTTCTTTTCGTTTATCCCATCGCACCAAATCGAGTATTCGTTCCACATCTGCTGCTGGTTGAACAATAGCAGTATTCGTCACCTTTGTGTTACTTTTACTCTGGGCAACGGACTCTTTTTCATTGCATTTGCTTTCTGTGCCACTTTTTCCAGTTTTTTCAGGTGCAACACGTTCCGTTTTCAGGGATTCATCAATGCTTGTCTTCAATTTTCGTGCGATTGTTAGCGATAGATAAGAGAAATGGAAATATAAGTGTTAATTAAGTGCTCAATATCGATGGCAATGTGCTTCACAAGCCATAAATTAATAATAATTTGTTTTTGTCGGCAATATTTGTCTGATATAAATCTTTTTCGTTCAAATCAACCTTATTATTAAGTTTTACCTTTCGTGTTTTTGTTGGTTTAAAATGTGATAATACTGAACTCTCAAAATGTTTGATCCCTTCTTTGTACAACATATCGCTTGCTGTAATCCAGGTATTTTCTGTCTCTGGCATTCCAACCCATTTCACCAAATACTCCTCCTATAGTTTGAACAAAACAAGCAAATATACCGGATTTAAATGTAAACATTGATTGAAATATACCGCAACAGCATGTGGTCGAGAACATTCAATGAATAAAATATCAAAAATAGGAAACACTCACTTTGTTACCGTTTACAGTTCGTTTAGCAACAATTTTTTCAAATTCCTGTACATGTGGAACCTTTTCAGAGCTCGCGTCTGATTTCTGCAAATCTTTTTCAAATTTTTGAATTAATCGCTTACAATTCAGATTTTCGATTGGCTCCCATGTATTTTCCGAGTCTGGATAACCTTTGTATTTGATCAAGTAATGCGGCTGCAAAAATAAACAAAACAATTGACAACAATTTTGTCGAACAGTTAAAAAAAATAAATAAATGCGGTTGACTTTTAGACGGGCGATACAGTATTATACACGCATTTCTCTAAGTCAAACGCGTAATTTTGGCGCGCAATTTTATCTCATACCTTTCCCGAAATGAAGCGTTTATCAAGAATTTTTTCCACTTCAAAAATGATTTCATTGTCGACTGGTTCGGATTTGACTTGTACTTTTTTGTTGATAGATGATCGTCGACCCATTTTAACTTACAATTATTTTATTTAGTTTTTGTTTTCTTTGAATTTTTTTTTCTTCACTTTTCTTTATGGTTTTTTTTTTACCGTTGCTTAAAATTAATTTCTTTGTTTTTTGATTAGAGGCACACTCAAATCGATTCTCCTTAAAAACTAAATGACAAACAATTATTGATTCTAATTCACAATATATAAACTAAATAGAAAAAAAAAATACGAGTATATCTCGTAAAAGTGTATATGAACGATAACAAATGTTATAAAATATGGTGCACATAAATGGTAACGACACAAACGAGAGACGCCAAACGAATGAAATCACTTGTAATCGTCAGCAATTTTGAGTTCTCCGTTGTTATTGCTGCTTTTTTTTCCCTATGCAGTTGTTTCGCCTTCAACGGCTGACAATTTTCAGTTATTCGAACGAGCTCACAATGTTAGAGAGCTCAACGTGCGCGCCTCATTCACTTCAAACACTTGCACTTTCAATGTATCTGTTTATTCTGCTTATGTTTTTGGTTGTTTCGTCTATATGTCTTTTCTGTTCTTTTATGTTCTTCTCTGCTCTTTTATCGTTTCCCTTTTGGTTTTCGTTTTTGTTCTGTGTTTGTGATACCCGGCGCAAATAATCTATTACGGCATCGATATGCAGGCACGCAAAACTTGTGAAGCACGACATCACAAAGGCGCGCTTTTCTCTGTGTGCGTGTATTCTGTGAGTGTATATGGATCGACGCGAGAGATACGTTAGTATGTCAAACAAAAAGTAAACTGAAAAAGAATGCCTAAATGAAATGTCCTGGAAAATTGAAAGATTATATGTTGGCTGACAAAAAAAAGAAAGAAATCAAATAAAACTAGAAAAACCAACTGTTTTTTATGATTTTTTTATGGATTTTATTTTATAATCGTCGGGAAAAAGAAATTCAAACAAAAAATATATAAGAAACCCTACTGAGCTTGATGCCTTTTTGATATTCACCGAATATGTTTAATGGCTTTTTCTACTACTAATTCATTATTATTCACTTGAGAAAGTACCGTAAATACAGTAAAATAGTTATCATTAGTTAAATCAAATCATTACATTTCTGAAAACTGTTAAATAAAAATAGTAATACTGTCAAATTTGTGATATTGTCATGTGGTGAATCATTGTGGTTTTGGTCGACTTTAAATCGATGTTGTGTAACATTTCAGTTGTCTGCCGTTTTGAACGAAGTGATGCGTTCAAAAAATGCAATGACACTTTTTGCATGATTGGCGATCATTGTGTCACGGCTTATCCATTCTTCTTGTTGCTCGTCATCTTGGTCGCTGCTTTTCCATTTGACCAAGTATTCATGTTTGTTGTTGCGTTTGCGTAAATTTTCAACCCGATCAACTTCTTGGTTTTGTAATGGTGTCTTCGATTTGTTTCGCGTTGTTGTGGTAGTTTTAGTTACCGTTTTTGTTCCAACAGACCGTTTACGTGTTGCCTCATCTGATTCCATTGCAGTGGAATTTATTTTTTCTGGTGGAGAATCCTGAAACATGACAACCTAAACAAATCGATGAACAAAAACACATCAATTTCAAAGCACATTTTCGAAAATCACTAGTATTTGCACACACCTCTGACGCGTTTACTGTTTTTTTCAACGAAAATAAATCGTTCACAGATTCCCATGAGTTTTCTGCATCCGGAGAATCTTTCCATTTAATAAAATATTCCAAGCTATTTCCACTGCTCCGTGACTTGATTATCTTTTCAATCGCATGGCTCTTGGTACTAACTGTTTTCTTTGCTTGCCCTTTAGCCATTTTTGCCGCCCTTTTTATCACTTTTTTACCAAATTTCCACAATTTTTGTGAAATATCGTCTGATCACAGTGAATTAGTTGATTCCTATCTGATTATATTTTCTAATTTTTATACTTTTTCCGACAATCTGAATGGAGTGCTAATTTTTCCGTTCTCGGCGAACTCTGGCTTAAGCATCAACTTTCAGAATAAGTCGTTGAATTTGAAAATTGGATTATGTTCGGTACGTCACACAGAACATCAAATGCAATACATATAAACGGGTTCGTCTCATAAACTGTGAATCGCTATGAGAAAAAACACTTGTCTTTGTGCGAACCGAATATCAGTTATACAGTCGAAAGTTATGAAATCAGTGCAATGGTTTATTTCTGTCTCTCTTGAACATTCATTGCGAGCATAAATCGGTTGCGCTTCTGTTTGATTATTCTCTTTCTCTGTGTATTTGTAATACTTGTATTACTTGTACGCTGTCTGTGCTATATCTCTAAGCGATAGTTTACACGGTTGTTACTGTAATTTGACATTTTCGGTGGTGTCGTTTGATTGCACGTCATCAAATGTCGATGTTTCGAAGTGATGATGGTAATTATTCATCTCGAGACAATAATTTCTATTTAATAATAATATGCTAATAATTTAGCATATTTTCAAAAATTTGTTGCCTGAAACGATACAGTCGGATTGAAATACAAAATATAACAATGAACTGTGCCAAATAAATGATTGGCAGTTGTCATTTTGGTATATTTTTGATTTGGTTTCAGTATTGAATGCCATCGACATCGATTTGCATAATAATTTCGACAATAATGAGAATCTAATAAAGAGCAGTATACGGAACAAAGAAGATAGAAAACCGTAAAAATTGTTTAATTTGATTTAATTGAGGCGAGCCGCGAGAGTGAAAATTACGGTGTGTTGCGCGAAATATGAGGTGTATGCAATCATATTCAATGTGATAATGACTTGATAGAGTTGTCGAATGGATAATGTTGCTGCTGAGCAAGTGTATTGCGCATTATGGCTTTCCATTTCTTCATCGAGCTGTATCGCAGCCGACATGTATGTGTGTAAGTGTATGGCGTGGAAATTGTTTTTTTATTACAGAAATACTCGAAAAAAAAAATTATCGACAAATTGTTTGATGATTAATTTACTGAGCTCGTGATATGTGCAGTTTTTTTTTTACTTTCTTTCTTAAGCAGTTTTGCACAGTGAAGCGCAAATGAAAATCGCCATACAGCAAGGTGTGTAAAAAAAGAAGTGCGATGATTTGAGATGCAAAACTGCATGGCAGCAGGCAATTGGCTTCGAGGCCAAGATCATTATCTTGGTTTATGTGTTGTTTGGACACATTAAGCTCAAGTTTGATTCGACCACATCATCACACTCTAGCCGCTATCAAATTGCCGCTATTTTATCTATGACTATATTTGAATGAATCAGTCCAAGTTCATTTCTTATGATAATTTATTAATGGAAACTAAGCGTGAACGTACACGAGATATATACATTTAATGGGCTCAATGAAAAGAGACACACACACATATCAGTTAGCGCACGAATCATATTCCATTTTTATTTTTTTATTTTTTGATTGTCGTTCAATCTCTTGCATTTACATTTGAATGCGCCGAACGAAGACGATGTTGAGAGTGTGCCATAAATTGTGGTTTGAAAAGATGAGTGAAAAAGTGAAATTTGTGTCGCTTTGTAAACAAATGTGATATTTTCTGCACAGTGACAGACACATACACAATTTTCATAGTGACAGATTAATGAAGATGAATCAAACAAATGTTCGTTTTTAACATGAACATGTCGTGGTTCCGTGAAAATATTTTTTTTTTGTTTTGGCCTATTTTTAGTCTTCATGAATCACAATGTTAGTTTGCAATTAAATCAATCGATTTTGATTCAAACGATATTTGATTGATTAATTCATGACTCATCATATGGGGTGTAATAGATTTTGCGGTGAATGGAAATTTCAATCAAAACTAAATTGCATAGAACACAAGAGCAAAAGATCAAATAGTCCATTCAATCATTCACCTGTCGAAAATAAAAACGAAAGTCAACAAATGCGGCGAGCCGAGCACTCACATATACACTAACATGCAAACATAATTAAATCCTATAATGCCCGATTTCACTTATTTTTGTTTATTTTTTTGGTTTTTTGGCCATTGCAAATGTGTCAATTACATGATAATGGTAATTTTGTTGAACGACCCATTGACAAATGATTAAAACTATAAAATGAAAATGTGCAATAAAAATGTGTGTTTCGCGTCGCAACCATATATGCATTGAACAGGTATGCTTGTACGGCACGACATTGCTCTTTGACCCACTCACTATTTTGTTTTGAATGTATACTTCATATCAGTTGAGGCAGTCTGGCAGGCAATGAGATACATGGTATTAAATTCATGAAAACCGCAAAGACAATGACTCTTTATTTATGTTATGTTTTGTTATGAATTTCAATATATGAAATACATCACCATAAAATGACGATGATTTTTTATACAAGCCAAAACAAAAAGTGATTGATAAAAGGAAGGAAAAAGTGCCATAGATAAAAAACATATGAATTTTCATGTTGAATACAATCAATTTACATTTTATGTTTTTACGAATTCCGTAAGATAACAAGTGTCGATGACAAATGCTTAGGCTGTTCGAAGAATTGTACACTTCCAATGTGTTTTATGCAATTTATTACGGTTAATTGGTTATTCACAGCGAAAGTTTGTTGTTTCTCTCTGCTCCATCTTTGTGTAAAGCGAAGAAGAAGAAAAATTCCACATGAAAATCATCAAATGCAACGATTTTCGGTCTTCCATTTCGTTAGATAATGTAATTGGCATGGCGAAGATGAATTAACATCAAAACCATGCATTAGCATGAACATTAAAAAAACAAACAAATCGTTGTAATAAATTCTAAAATTTTGTTGCTGTTGTTAATGTTTTACAGATATATAGACAAGAGGCAAGAAAACGCACGTTCCACATATCGCAATTGAACGAACGAGAGTGAGAGACGTACCGTAGCCGGAGAAATATATTGCCGATTTTCGTTTGGCGAAAACGAAACACGATAAACATTTAACATACCCGGATCACAATGAAACAGTTGCTGCGACTTTTAACAGCTTTAATGCTGTTCTTTGGATTATGCCACATAGTTTGTGTAAGTACTTTCCATGTTCTCAATTTTAACGAAACGATCTTATTTGGTGCCAGAAAAACTTTTGCGGAAAAACATAAAATCAAATGGTTAAGTTGCTCGGTTATTTTTTTCTTGAGTCAATTAAGTGAGTGAATTTTGTTTGGTTTGACTTTGGCACGCAATGCATGTTTACAAATTGCAAGCATTTTTACTTCTATCGCTGTTACATGAATTGATTCGAATTGAACATTTTTCGCGACATTTCCAGACGAGATAATTGTTGGCTTTGTAATGTAATTATTAAATCTAAGTTAAGATGAACTCTATAGCAACCACCAGCAACAACAGCAACGACAATGAGTAAAACTAGCCGAGCATGATAGTAAGCATGAAAGTGAAATCGAGATTTCAGAGAAAAAAGTAAGAGTCAGCCAAGTAAATTGTCGCCGCAGACCAGTCGTTTTAATCTATGTGTGTGTGTGTGTGTGTGTGTGTGTGTGTGTGTGTGTGTGTGTGTG